AAACTGTCAAATGCTCATGAAGTGACTCTTAGAGGGAGTCAGAGCAGTTCTGGAGATGTTGTTCATGTATTTATGTCCCCATGTAGTGATACGACAGAAGCTGAAATCACCGCGCGCGTCGCACACTTTGTATATGTAGAAAACAACACCGCGCATCTGTGCCATTTACATACACAGAGACACGCAGAACATGCTGGATTCATATTTAAATAGTATTTTTGCGGCTTAATATTTACAGATACTAGTCCATATTGCGACTCTGTTTAAGTGTACTGACCTACTTTTCATTAATTCATCCAAACTTGGACAAATTCCGTGACATTCCGCGTCATAAAGTAAATTCCATTTATATGACAGGATTCCGTCCGCGTTTTCTGCATCGCGGAAATCATAGATAATATTGAGGTGTTTTGCAACTTCAGTGTAACGTTAGTGGATAGGGATCTATTGCACCTTAAGCAACGTCTGCTGCTGCCTTACCTTTGAGAGACAACTGATGCGTGATCACTGAAGCAGCTCCAGTTAGCAAGTCACTGTGTCAGGTTACACGATTTTGACTCCTACAATCTTGTCATGTTGTGGACAAGAAACATGTCAGACTACACGTGGCTTCCCGACCATTCATCGCGTGCCGTCTTTAACGACGCGCGTGATGTCATCGAGAAGGCGGAACTAGCAAATAACTTCCGAAAACAAGAGTGTAAACATTGCTGAAGCGCTTACAAATAAAAGCTTTTGTTTACATAATATATGTATGTGTACTGTGTATAATTATTATGTATATATAAATACACACATACAGTTACGTATTCTGTAACATATTCTCAGGGCAAAAAATGGTACAGAAGCCGTCATTAAGACCACACCCTACACCAGAGGTGGCCAACTTTGGCCCTGGAACGCCACAGTCTGGCAGAGTTTCACTCCAACTCTAATCAAACACACCTAGACAAGCTAATCAAGGTCTTAGGGTTACTAGAAAGCAAGCAGGCAGGTGAGTTTTTATAAAGGTTGGACTGTGGCTCTCCAGGATTTAAGCTGGCCTCCCCTGCCCTTTACTTTTGTTCCTTATTTACCCCTAAAGGGTGCATACTAGTATCTTAAAGATAGTGATGGCGAAGTGAAGCGTTCTGAACCAGCGAAGCTTTCAACACAATTGTATCGGAAAAAGGTTCATTACTCGAAGCTTTTTAAAACGGTGTATGCTGTGGCCATCTAGTGGTCATAAAAATAAATAACACCTTCCTAAGTGTTCCACCTTCCATTACAGCCAGTGGTTTCACATCTGGTTCTACAACTGATTCTTTGTTTTATTATATTTTATATGAATAATGGTCATTGTCAAAGTCATTCATTTGTGTCGGTGTACTGGCACTAAAAATAAGTAAAATACATAAAACATAAATTAAATCTATGATCTGTTTATTTTAACTCTGCCTCAGTCCTTAGACTGTTATTTCATGGCCAAAGTTCATTTTTGAGCTCAATATATAAATTACGATTTAAAAAAAACAAAACAATGCTAACACATTACAATGTAATATAGGCTAATGTAAAGGAAACGGTGCTAAGGTTCGCTTCGTTTGAACCAGATACTGAAGCAGTCACGTGGCTTTCAGGCGAATGAAGCTTGGACGTCATAGATCACGTGCTTTTCTCAAAACGAATCAAGCTCCGATACAGTGCTTCAATGTGACACGTGTTGTTGTTTTTTTACAAGCTTCGGTGTTGAACGTAACATTAAAGATTAAAGATACATATTAATACCTAAAATGTACATACTAGTAGTACCTAAATGGTACAGATTAGAAGATTTTCAAAGGGTCCCACCACAGTGGCAGCCTTTGTACCATTTTGTTGGTGTGAAGTGCTGATATATTTACATTTTGTGAGGTTTTGAGATTTCTGTGGTTTCACATCCATTAACTGCTTGTGTATAAAATATATTGTGTTAAGGACAGACCTGCACAAGCTGATTTACACTGCAGTCACATTTGATTTACTTTTATTGTCATGCACTGAAATCGCTTTTCTCTGCACTTAGTGACAGAGCCTTAAAATAAATAGCGATTTCACTATAATATTACTGTCACACACATGTAAGTGTGAGCAGACTGTGTTTGTGTGAGACAGCACTGAATGCCTGCTGGAGCTTGGTGTCTTTATGTCAAACAGCAGGAGGGCCGTCTGCACTCTCAGCTTCTGCATAGATCTTACATGCTTTTAGCTTCATGAACAAAACATTTGTGCTCACAATGCTGTTATTATTCACTTTATATCTGGCTGAACATAAGACGTTATGTCTATTCCTGAATCACTGACAGGTTGGCATCTTAACTGAAGCATATTTTTTCTGTTTGGAAAGCATTTATATTGTGCAGTAATTGGCTGGGTATTCTAAGACTTCGATATCATGAGCTTCAAAGGTTAATCGTTGCAATAATCACCATTTGTTATTGGTTCTCAATGGCCCGGTGAGGTATTTGTCTGACTTAGAAAATCTGGAATGAATGAAACAGCAACACAAGAAGCCTCAGGATGGTGCACCAAAAGCTGTCACCGTGAAGTTATTTTTATAAGCTCCAAATGACTTTCTTTGCTGTGGAACAAAAAGAACATGTTTTGAAAAATATTCATTCTGTTCTTTTCGATAATGTGAAAGTTGGGTGGGGACTAAAAGTTTGTCTTTGTAGGAGGAACATACTGAAATTTCAGTTGCAAGTTGAAAATCATGCTTGAAAAAGCCGTCTTTAAAAGTTCAAATAAATTAGTGTGAATTTGTCTTATTGGTTCACGGTGGTAGTATTATTTGACGACATCACTGTATTCTACAGTGATTCTACATCAGAGATTCTAGGGTTGAACACTAACATTAATCAACAATAACATCACCAACGTATAATGTATTTATATAAACTTCTCACCAATTGGTAACATGTAAACATTTGTTACGTGGGTAATTCCAACTGAACAGAGATTAACAAATTAAAAAATAAATAAAATAAGTTTAAAATTTGTTGAAAAACGTTACATTAACAGTATTGAATGTTTTATTAGTTGCCATATTTTTTTGTTAAAACATTTTGGCTGACCCATCTTTCAAACTTTTTGGCAGCTCTCACTCCAAAAAGTCAAATGAAAATAAGTAGCACACAATAACAAACTGGCTATAAACTAAACGTTATGTCCAGAAATGTTCTTTATTGTTAGCATACTACAATTTCAAAGATCCCTTATATAGCACATAATGTATTTCAATTATTTGCACAAGATGTTATGCATTAATGACAGTTAAAACTGAAGCGTAATAACTTCATAAAATCAAGTCAACTGATTTTCATTACATTGGTATTATTATACTTTGGAAGGAAAGATGGAAATATCAACAAATAAAAAAAATAAAAAAAGTCACATTTTGTGCGTGTGTGCGCATGTGTCACTGTGCTTTCTGTTTCTCCCACTGCTCTGGTGTCAATGTTTTCTGCTCAAACGCATGGATCTCTTTCAGTTCCTCGGCAAGGCAATTATTCACCATCCTAAATAATAAACAAACACAGATATTTATAAAAACATTACATGAGGTCAGTAAGTCTATTGTTCCCAGCATGCCTGTTCCTCACAGCTTGCCTACACAGCTCTATCCTCTCTAAAGACAATACACTTCCACATGACTTGGCCCTATAAAAAGACTCCGATCATTCTGCTAAGTCTGCACATCTGCGTCTGTGTCACTCGGAGCCAGCTGGGACTCTCTCAGCTTCAGATGACCTTTTTCACAACACTCTACACTGCATCATTGATTCCATCAAACTACATTTTTTCCTACCATCTTCAGGTGTTTCATATTTGACTGAGATGAGACAGCATCACAATTTTTTCTTAAAAGGCAATATCCAATACTGATATGAAATGCAACCTGCTTACCACGATAGTAAAAGCACTGAGCAATTAACATAAGAGCAACATTTATGTAAATATTATCAACAAATGTCAACATAAACAAACTGATCTTACATATACAACTACTAGTATATGTTGTTACTGTATATGGAGACAGATCACAATTCTGTCTAGGGCTGCACGATTAATCGAATGCGATTGTCATGCGCATTCTGGCCTCTGGATGGAGATTTACTGCTGATCACAGAACCGTGCTTCACTGAAAGATACGCATGACAATCGCAGCTTCTGTCGAATTGCGATCTCGATTCCATTTCAATTTATCGTGCAGCCCTAATTCTGTCTGTTAACTTGAAAGATTAAAGTCAGTGATTTAGACTTTAGATTTTTGTTCATTAATAAATTAGAAGAGCAGGCATTAACTGTGCACACATGAAACTTGTCATTTTCTAGGAGTATAAAAGAGCAGTGCAAATATAGTTTGGAATTATTATTTTTATAGTTGGTATAGGTATAGGTGCCTCTCAAAATTTGAATATTGTGAAAAAGTTTTGTAACTTATTTCAAACAGTGAAACTTTCATATATTCTAGATTCATTACATGTAAAGTAAAACATTTCAAAAGTTTTTTGTTTTAATTTTGATGATTAGAGCTTTAGAGCTAAAAAATAAATTGAAATGTTTTACTTTACATGTAATGAAACTAGAATATATTAAACTTTTCACGATATTCTAATTTTTTGAGATGCACCTGTAGTTATTCTTTAGCTAGTTTCTTATAGCAGAGTTTCAGTTAAAGAAAACATCTTATTTAATTTTTGTTTTTCATTAATGTTAACCTTGATAAAGTAAGGTCCAAAAAGCACACTGAAAATTGGATTAAAACAAAACTTTTCGGATTTCGATTGAAACATACAACAGTAACAGTACAGCATACAGGAATAAGAAATAAGATTCTGTACCATTTCTGAGTCACTAATATCTGTAATATCTTGTGTATCATTTGCGACTTATCATGTGACTCCTTTTTACACAAAGTCAGATGCTCGTCCACTGAAGCACAAGATTCTGGATTATTCTTAAATTATGATCATCAGATTTTGAGAACTTGTGGAGTTCATGCACCTTGACTGCTGCTGTCATTAAAACGTTTGATGTTCAAACTGAAGTTGTTATTCTTATAACTTCAAATTTAAAATAAATAATAATAATTAGAAAGGTGCAAAGCAGAGGTGGTTTCACAATTTTGTATCCCATTACAGAACATAAAAAAAGAATCGTGTGAAAAAGAAGCAACTCACCTGTGTCTCTGCAACAATGGTTTCCCCTCAAACTGAGGAGATACTACAAGAACTTTAAAACTGGCAGCACATCTATTAGGAGTCGTGTCTGCTACATCCTGAAAGAAAAACAAGGAACCGAATGTACGTATTTTCGTGAATTAACTGCTGGAATAGGAAGAGCAACTGCTGTCTGTTTCATTCACACACGTAAACTGTATGATCTGTAACTCATTTTGAATCTAGTTTCATCTGGCTGTGCATGTTACATACCACGTGTATCGCACCAATCTCCGCACTCAGTTTTTCACGAATCAAATCTGGGGTTACAGACATATTTCCCAGAATAAAGTATAAGCTTTGGTGACGATAACGATTATATAAACACTGAGACTAGAGATTTTAACACAGTAGACAGCGTTGTTGTCTTCTAATTATCTAGGAACTACCGGTATGCCTTATAAAGGAGGAGCTAAGTACTAAAAACACCCAATTGGATTTGGAATATTACAGAGGCCACGCCTCTAGAAGACAGTAATGGCCAATCCCTTTATCGTACGGTTTACCTAACGCATGAAAACTGACCAATAAAAACAAAGAATTTGGGGTCCTTGTTGTTATCGGTGTTCTCTTTAATTGCTCGATCGAAAAAGCCACATAATCTATTTGCAGATGATCAAATCAAGTAAAATCAATATAGATGGTCAAAATCGTATTTGTTAATAACGTGGATTATGGCAAACTATTTTAACTCATTATTTGTATACGCTTACTAAGTGACTCCTGCATTGTATATTTTGCTCAGGCCATACCAGGGCATACTTACCGGGCTAGTTTGAAAGGAATAAGGCACATTATCAAAACAAATGAATGTTTTGCAAACACCAAGGATGAGGGATGAGGTGTGCGTGTGTGGGTATGTGTGTGTCGGGATAAAGGAGGGAGAACGGGTGATTTAGTCTGTAAACCTATTTTCTGATTCACACTCCGGAGCAGAAGGTGGCGGTAATGCACCAATACGCTGGATGCCAACCGCCGTAAACATATAAGAACACCAATGCAAGCCGTTAAAACCTAAAGAAGGATGAATGTTTTGATTCAATACAGTAGAACTTAGAAGATACAAGAACAGACGCTGTTCTTTTTTTAGTCTTTAATAACTACGTTACATAACGTTAGTTAGATTATAATAGGATATAGCAATGCCGCTTGAGATGAAGGTCTTGAAAGGTGGTGTATAATGCTGATGTTGTTGGATAGTGCCAAAGATTGCAGTGATATGAACAGATGATATATATGAGAAGCACTGAAATAGCTTCACATCTTACTAGCCCTCCCTCTGCAAAGGTGTTTGAGCTACTGCAGCAAATAGGATGGTGGTAGAAGTGGAGAGTTTCAATGGTGTGTATATGCTGTACTGTACTAACCCGAAATTCAAGGGTCGAATATATATTGGCTTCACCGTGAACCCAGAGCGCCGTATAGGTCAACACAACGCTGGACGACACCGAGGAGGAGCCAAGAGAACAAGTGGCAGGGGACCATGGTGAGATATCAGCTGAACATTTCATATGGTGGACATATTACGATCAGATCTCTAAACAGGAACTCCGGTGGTCTTTTGTGGTAAATGTTTTTTTTTTTTTTTTTCATTTTAAGGGAGATGGTTCTTATCATTCATGGCTTTCCATCTGATATTGCAGCTCTTCGGGTAAATACACTTTTCTGTTTGTGTTATATCTTGTCTTTCATTTCCCCCTTTGTACGGGGGAAATTAATTAATTAGCGAGAGTGCAGAAAAAAATCTTTACCTAAATACACTTAAAAAAAGAATAATAATGATATTTCTGTCGGGTCGGATTTTGCGGGAAATTGTGTACATATGTAAACTTGCCCATGCATGTCACTCATATCCAAACACAGAGAAAATAAGTAGCCTAGGCTTTGGATAACCGGGGAATTAATGGTTGTATAAAAAAAATTATTTATTTATCCATCCCCGTTCTGATAAGGTATCATGTTGTATTCATGTGGAAATATTCAGTTGGTCTTTGTTTTACTTGTGCTCTGTTTGTCTTTCATCTGTTAGTTTGAGTGGGCTTGGCAACATCCACACATTTCTCGTCGACTGTCCCATGTTGCCCGGCGCATCCGTAAAGAGTCCAGTTTGCAATTCCACTGGCGTGTGGTGTCAAACATGCTGCGAGTGGCGCCGTGGAGTCGACTTCCCCTCACTGTGCGCTGGTTAAAGCAGGAGTACCGAATGGACTTTGCTCCTGAACTGCAGCCTCCTCTGCACATTCCTCTAACATTTGGCTGTGTTCGTGCTAAGACGAAACCCCAACAGGAGTGCAAGGAACAAGATGAGAGACAGGTGGAGCGGTGTGTGTTATGTGGGGTGTTTGTTAAGGTTAGTTCCATTCTGCTTTCAGAGTAGTTATGAGAAACCAGCTCAAGACATTGCAGAAATAACTGAGCCTCAGTTGTTTTGGGTTTTGCTTTTTTTGTGATTTCAGGCTATGGATAGACTATCTTGTTTCCACCCTTCCTGTCAAATGGTTAGTCATCTGATTTGCCTGGCTAAACACTTTCTGAAAGCAGACCCTTCCCACCTACTTCCTGTGGAGGGAAAGTGTCCTGGCTGTCATCACTCGGTGCTGTGGGGGAGTTTGATACGCCATAAAAATGGCTGTTATGGTGATTTGGAAGACATTTCCTCATCCTCATCTCAGGTTGACATTGATATGATTTCCCCTATGTTGTATCATAATTTATTATGTGTTGCCAATAAATCCTACAATTTTAATTCATTTAAATCTTAACATGCATTTAACCAGATAGTTATTAGAGGATTTTTATATTTCACAAAGATGTCATATATAGATAGTGGTGTAGCTAAAGTTTTTAAAAAATGTAGTTAAGAGTCAGAGAATGGTGTAGTTTTTAGTGAGACAAGTTAAAGAACTGATGTCTCAGTTATTTTATTGAATAACAAAACTGTTTTTATTCATTTAAACAGAATCATTGGACAGATGAACTACAGTTGTGAAGACAGTGTCATACAGCTGTTTCTGTTTTAAGAAGTATTCATTGGATTGGAGTGTCTGACCTGACAGACTGACTGCTCATTAAGGCCAAGGCATCTTTATATCCTTCCTTAGACATGTAGAATTATCAAGGATATACAGAATAAGATGAGTCTTCAGACATATTTTAAAATAAGATAAAAAATATTTTAATTCTGCAGTAATACATGTTTGAACATTGTGTAAGCTCAGTCAAGACAAGAATAATTACTGGATCATGTGTGTTTTTAAAAACTGGTTTTAAATAAATGTAAATGTGATTATTTTGTATCTGAAATCATGTGTGGATATTTATTGAACAATAAATCGGTGTACTTTGTTTTAGTGTTTTTTGTGACGCATTCATTTTGCCCTATTCCTTGTTGGTGCAATTTGGTTGTAAAGTAATGTCGACTTCCTACTCACAAATTTTCTATTTGCATGTTTAAACAGGATGGAAACAGATGACCATTCGAAAGAATCTAGAAACAGTGAGGATGACTATTGCTGCAATGAATACTGGCTGAATTCCTTGAAAATGAAAGCATTGCAGCTCAATAGCATTTTCAGTATTGCTCTGTTTAATTAAGTGGTTTGACAGTCAATAGAGTGAATTTGAAGTGGGACTTTATGTGCAAACAATGTGGGATGTTTGAGAACAGTCATTATAGCAGTTCTCAGTCATTATCATTTTTGCAAAACTATTCAGTGCCACGGGCTGGACAGAAATTACACACTGCAGCACCGAGGCTACACTGGTTGTGCCCACTATTTAGATTATGGAAAAGAAAATTAATGCAAATTACATGATTAAATGTGATGGGATATTAGAAACATGTTGTTAAACTAAATGTGTAATATAAAATATTGAGTTTAAATTCACAGTAATTCATAGATATACCTAAAAATCTATAAAACTGATCATTCAATTTTGATACACGTGTTGAACGAACAGCTGTTATATAGATGTATGTGGATATAGCTCCTGGCTCTAAATAGCTTATCACTAAAACTGTCCTCATTGAGGATCTGGAGGTCCGTTAACCGTGATTACTGGCTGAAAGAGAGTACAGACAGATGGACTTGTTGTCATATCCTCCAAAACAGCATTTTATAGCATGAGCTACAGCTTGCATTACAGTTTGCATGGGTTCTTACCACACTAGACACTGGAGAGCAGCACTGAATGACCTTGCAGCAGTATGCAGCTAAAGTGGCAGAAAGGGCAATCTGGACTGCCATCACAAGCTTTTGTAATCCCAGGTAATTTCCAAAGCCAGTCTGTGGGTAAAACATCAAAAAGACAGCAATATTTGACGTGTCAGTTGTTCTCACCTTGACATGTTTTTATCTTTTAATATCTTGATTTAATCAGTAAGTGTGGACTAAGAGAAACAACGTTCAGATCTTACAATTTTCAAATCACAAAGTCAAATCACCTTTATACAGTATTGCACTTTATACAATACAGCTTTACAGCCATAAACAGGAAAATAATGATTCAGTGTTGCGAACAGAACTAAATTCTGACCCCAGTTCATTGTTGAACCAGATATTAACTTCAGTGTTGCCAGGTCCGCGGTTTTCCCCTGGAATTGGCCTACTTTAACACTTGCCGCGGGTTGTTTTACGTTTTCCGTGGGTTTAAGCAACCCCGATAATGTGTGCATATTTACAATTTAAGCACTTAACTAAAATAAGTAGGCTATTAGTAAAATAAATAACTAGAGAAGGCTGACTATAATCAGCTTGCTTCTATTTAGTGAAATTGTCATTAAGATCACACTATAGAAACCGCTTAAAATTAAGTATATTAAAGAGAAGAAAGCGGCCCTAGGCAGTTGCCTACACATGCCAGGATCCGCCACTGCCAGATGCAGTTAGAAATTTACTAAAAACAAGCCTATCGCAAGACATCTGGTAGGGGGGGCACCTGGGGTGGCCAGCCAAATTTCAGGGGAGGCCGGTGCCACCCCTGGCCACCACGTAGACACGCCCTTACGGGGGATCCCCCTCGAAACATGATTGGGCTAGTTTTGAGTAGTAATTGGGTGGTTTTGTTGTGAAAACCTGGCAACCCTGATTAACTTTGCCAACCAACCATGGTCTCCCCTACCTAGAATGCCATATCAGAATTGTTACGGTAAACGTGTTTCTGACTTACGCTTAAATTGTTGCATGTTGTCTTTTGGGAGGACTCTACATCATGCACCCAACAGTGATATATGGAAGGGAAAACAATTAAGTGCAGGAATATGGAGATCACAGAGGCCGTACAGGCCACCACTTGCATTCCTAAACAAGCCTTTATCTGAAACAAAAACACATACAAAATTACAGGCTGTTTGTTGACCAAAAGGTATTTCTCTTTATTAAATTATAGTAGTTTTAAATGCACAAAAATGAAATAAATGGCTTATAACTAATACATGTGTTTTTCAAAGGGTTAAGATCTGAAAACTTACAGTTGGGAGGTGAAGATTCTGTGCAGCTATTGCCAGACTTCCTGCAATAATGATCTATAAAAGGGGAAGATCAAGACATATTATACGCAGTACCTTCAGAAGTAATTTAGATTTCAGCCCTCTATGTTTCTCACTTATTGGACATATTAAGATTTCAGAATGGATCTATTTACTGACTGATCTGCTGTATTGGACATGATTTAGAAAAGCACATGTCTCTATAATATGTGATTGTGGTGTAGTTTGTAGACTTTGTTTAGCTTTTTGCTAGTGGCGATTCTATGTAGCCTTCAAAATGTATAAAATTTGTGTTCATTTTCGAAGATTATCATGAAGAAGAAAATGTATAAGAATCATAAACTTTGTTAGTCACAGAGCTTATTTTCGGCATGCATCCAAAAGACAATGGAAAATCCTAATGGGTTTCTTTGTCGAGGGAGATATAGGGTGATGCTAACTTCTGGGTTATCCTGCAGTAATACATCATTACTGCAGCACTCTACAGGGCTTGACAATCAGGATTGATCCATGGCCAGGGGCCCTTGTGAAAGACAGTTGATGTCTACAGATATAAACAAATACAAACAAAATTCAGGAATGAGTGCAATTGACAATGAAAGGTGAAGAGCCTAACATTGAGCGGATTAATCCCACCTAAATTAAAGTTTTTAAATATACTTTTATATTGCAATAATTTCACATTCATTCTTCAAATTAATGTAGAAACAACATAAAGATAGTAGATTTTTAATATTTGTTTAATGGCATCTTTTTTATTACTGAAGGAGAGTATCACTGATACAAATACTACTGATGTCTCTAGGAAATCGTTTTTTCCCCCCTAGTATTTAACCATTGACTATAGAAAAGTGACGTGACATGTGGCCAAGTATGGTTACCCATACTGGGAATTAGTGCTCTGCATTTAACCCATCCTAAGTGCACACACACACCGGAGACTTGAACTCGCAACCTTTGGGTTACGAGTCCGACTCTCTAACCATTAGGCCACGACTTCCCGTAGCCATTAAGCATTACAGTCTAATTGAGAGCTTTCAATTTTAACATTTATTAGACTTAAAAAATAACAACTTCTATTTTCAGTGAACTTAAAACAATCTTCACATAAACCCATTATAATAAATGTCATATTTACCTGTGCCCAGTTATCAAACACTAAATTCTAAATGAAATATAAATGAATCCTTAAAGCTACAAAAGTTATTAATTTCCTCTTTTTCTTTTGTTCTTTGATTAACAGACATCACAGCAGCAGGGTTATTAGGTTACTTGACTGTAATTACTTTAAGAGCTGCCGCTGCTGAACGAGACACGGATCTGACATGCACACTCGTAGTTTCATTCACACGTTAATATGAAATGATACAGCTACGAGCACAGTATAAAGGCTGACAGAAGAGGAAAATTTGTTTTATGACATCTGGCCTGACAACATCTCATCGCAGTTCACTGTTGTTGTACTGAAGCTCCTCGTCACCTGTACCATTTCCGCACTTGTTTGGCTAGCGCCTGTTCTGACAATTCTTGTCAAGAAAAAAAGAGACAGAAGCAGCAGTTGTGAGTGTGATGGCCAACCCCAGCTCCGCCCCTGCATGAAATATTTTTAACACGTTAAACAAAACAACAAAATTAATCACCTGCATTAACAGGCTAATTTTGATCATAATAAAGGCAAAAATGCCAAAAATATTATTATTATAAATAAATTAAAAATAATAATAATATTTTTGGCATTTTTGCCTTTATTACGATAGGACAGATCAGAACTGACAGGAAGTGGGAGAGAGATATTTTTAGGTCGGGTACAATCTGCAATCTCTGACCCAGTTTGTTTGCTCACTTCCATGGCTGCAGTACTTTGCATTTTCTGCCAACTGGCAACCCGGGGTGTCAAAATATACTGGGCAAGTTGGCAGTGGGCGGAATCACACAGTGAAAAACAAAAACAGACATTCCAACATGGAATGCACATTTCAAAGCAGAATAACTGGGTGTAGCACTGTTTTTCAGAGAAACAAGCATGTGTATTGTGGTATTTCTATGATTTAGTACGGTCAAAAAATTACATACAGCACCTTAATGTTAATCAAACAACAAAACAACTTTTGCAACTTTAATAAGGATTAACCTACATTTATTTTATACGGAGAAGACTATGCATTTTTATTTAACATTTTATTATTAAAATTTAATTTCATGTTCCTGTGGCTCAGTGGTAGAGCATTGCGTTAGCAGTGCAAAAAGTCATGGGTTCGATTCTCAGAGAACACACATACTGGTAAAAAATGTGTAGCCTAAATGCACTGTAAGTCGCTTTGGATAAAAGTGTCTGCTAAATGCATTAATTAATTTCTGTACCTTATTAGGCACTGTTTATCTCTTTGTTGTCTGTTGTATTTATTTGTGCTGGTTTTGTGCTTACTTGTCTTTAGTAATGTTTTAGCTTTATGCATTTTTATTTAATGATTTAGCAGACACTTTTATCCAAAGCGACTTACAAATGAGGACAACAGAAGCAATCAATTGCTGTGGCTAGCGCCGGTAGGTTTTATGCACAGAAATATAATAGATAGTGCTAGTGTTACGGTCAAGTTTTTTTGTTGTTGTTGTTGTTGTTGTTGTTGTTCTTGTTTTTTTAAATTCATAAAATGAAAGTATATAGAATAGAATAGAATTGAATAGAGTGTGCTAATGTTAGAGTGTCAAGTTTATCTATATAATAAATAAAAGAAAAATAAGCAGATAAAATAGAAATAGAATAGAGTTTTTAGAGTGTCAATTTTTTTATAATAAATAAATAGAATTTATTATAAATAGATAGAAAATAAATAGAATAGACAGTTTTAATAGTAGTTATATATTATATTATACTTTTATATTAGTTAGGCTAATAGTTTTTGCTGCGGTATTGAAATTGGAATTGAGAATTGTGTAATTTCACTGGAATCTAAAAATTTGCTGTCAAAAACCTATTCATTAGAATACAAGGTTACAGGGGTCAAATACAATGAAAAAAAAAAGAAAAAAAAAAAAAACTTATTTGTTTGTTTGTGGGGGGCCATGCAGTGAAAAAATTTGGCAGGCAAGTAAAAATGTGAACCACTCTGTTTTTGCAGTAGCTCTGTAGCATAACTTGTTGAAGAGTAATTAGCTGGTGAAGTGGATTTACTTATTGTAGAGTTAATGAAAATTATCATTAGCATTGTAATGTTCGAAGCAAATGTCATAAATGTCAGTAGACCAGTAAGTTTTTGAAACGAACGGTCCATTCACGGATTTGTACGATTTAATGTTCACACTGTGGAAATACAAATGGAACACAGAAGACAAGAAGTGCAGTGCTTAAAAGGGGCAGAGCTACATAAGGTGACTAACAGGCATTTCAAAGATGGCTGCCAAGTGAAATGACTTGCCTTAAAGGGGTCATATGATGCTTTTTTAAAGATCATTATTTTGTGTAAAGCACTCGTCGGAAATGTAACGCCCCTTACCATAATCACGAGCGTCAGCTTTCAAAATAAATGTAAACACAGAGCCCAAAAGGGGAACAGAGTCACGTGATAGACAGTGATGAAGCTGGTATGTGTTTGCAGTAC